GACTCACCTCCAGAGCAAATAACTCCAGGAGTGAACCAGCAGGAGGAGTCCTTTTTGGGCCCACTGCCTTGAGGAAAATGGATGTTGTGACCGAGGAAGAGCACTGTAAGGGTCTCCATGTCAATCCTGTCATCGACCAATCAGATCATCAAAGTTGTTCAAACACAGACGACACAGATGACAGTTTGTTTTTTTACCTGTAAGTTGGTTTCAGATCCCAGGAGAGTCCGTCTGTGTCCAGAATCAGGAAGCCCAACAAGGCTTCTCCAGAATCGTTGGTTTTTATTGGATGGCTGAAGCCCTACAGTGATAGCAGTCTCGTTATTCTTAGGTTTGATGCCTAGTCATCCCATTTTGATACAGATATTCTCACAATCCTTGACCTCCTCAAACCTGAAAATCCAGGTTATGTGTGTGTCTCGCCAGGTTGCCCCCTGACATCCACTGGCCCGACCGATGAACACTGTGTACTGCATGAGCCATGAAGAGGACCGAGCTATAGATGGTCCCAAAGAGAGGAGACACCTACAAGACACAGGCTTCGTCTCAGGATAATATGTCCACATGACAGACAATTGAGTTAGTGAGTTTCTCCGTATCACCTGCTGAGGCTGCAGTGTGCCCTTCACCTCTCCACTGCCCATGGCCTCTCTGTAGACCTCGTAGAAGGACGTCTGCGGCGAGTCGATGGTGACTGTCAGCACAGCGTCGTAGGCTCGCAGCAGTTTGCTGTTTCCCTTCAGAGCGGGGTAGCTAACGTTGTGGTAGGGCAGGCTGTAGAGTAAAGTATCATAGGGCATGAAGACCAGGGAGCCGTCCATCATCTGCATGTCGTAGGCTGTTTCCAACAAAAGCTTTTGGACTTTTCCACCGATTAGTGCCGAGTGCATACAGAGGATCACAACTATGATGAGACAATGAGAAAATCAGTCAACCAAGAACTCTATGACTCCATAAACAGGCCAGTGGTTTTGGGAATGACGCCTATCCTTAATTATTGTCATATGAAAGCCAGTCTAAATTCAAAACCAACCGCGTATTTCATTGAGCTCACGAACTTTGGCCAAAGTTCTTCTGATGTCATGGGGTGTGTTCTCCATGGACCTAACCAGTCTGACTTGGAGACCATGACTCCTCAAGGAATCAGCCACCTGACAGGGACAAAGACAAGTAAACCAGTGGACTGAAGCTGAAACCAGGAAGAGGATCAGGAACCACATTCACACCTTGATGGCCGTCTCCACCCAGATGCCTTCAGAAGAAGAGATGACGGCGATGTGGGCCCACCTGAAGTAGTTCATGACACTGAACAGGACCCGAGTGGGCCTCGTGGTGGACCAGGCAAAGGTGGGGTGACTCCCAACATCATCCAAGTCGTTTCCCTCACAACTCCAAGGAAACAATGCCTGGTGAAGAAAAAAGACAGAGGGTGCGTTGAGGGAAATGTAATATCAGGGCCTCTCCAGCGTAGCTTTCCTCTGAAACACCACTCCCACCTACTTTATTCCAGCCTTTACTCAGCATTGACGCTGCGTCACAGTAGCCAGGATTGACTGGGCCAATGTAGGCTGAGGCCTTAGTCTGGAAACCAATAAAGGCCTCTAGTGCCCTGGAGGTCTCACAGGGTTCCTGGTGAGGTCAGCAGAATGTTGCATAAACATACCGTTTCTCAAAACACATTCCTACACTTTCAATGAAGGTGTTTTTATTGACAAAGAGTCTTCTATTTATATAAAAGCTTACACATAAATTAAAAATACATCTAAAAGTGAGTCCAAATTGTAGATAAACGTAAGATTCCAATTTTGTTTTCTTACAAAATTGTAAAACTGCAGGATGTAGTTGTATCTGATCCTGTATTCAAATTAGCATTAGCTACAGCTACATCTGTGTGTATGCAGATGATGTGACCATGTACCTGCAGGACGACGTAATCAAAAGTCAGAGCTTTGGAAAGTGAGGGATCTCTGTTGATGCGATTTACAGCCAGCCGTGCTGCAACGTCAGGTAGAGCTTTAGCAAAACAAGGGTCACACTCCCAGGGTCCCACCACGCCCACGCTGAACCGGGCGCCCTCTACCAGACGGACTAGGACACACAGCCAGGTCAGGAGGGCAATGAAGAGGAACCTCAGTAGGAGATGAAGGGATGGTTGGAGAAAAGAAGAAGAGCCATGAAGTTGTTTCATCTCAGGGTTCAGAGGATCCACGGGTCAGCAGAAGGAGGTCTGATGAACAATGATGAAACAAAAGGTGTATTAGGTAGTAATTTGACAAGTATTTAGAAATAATAATAAAGTTTCATAATTCCTAAAGTCTGTTTCACCATAATGTGTCGTCGTTTGATTGTTTAATATCAATCATGTTACACTCATATATTGTCATCAGAGTGCGACTTTTCCTTACCGTTCAGTGACGTCAGTGAAGTTTCCTGCTTCTTCCTGCCTCATCTATTTTTAGATTAAGAATAGAAAATAAATAAATAAAAACCGATCTTTAAATTCCGAGCGTTAATTCACCTGCGTGGCTGTGTGTGCACGTCAGTGTGTGTGTAAGGACTGAGAACTAGTGTGTGTCCTGTCTCCTGTCCTGTCAGATTATATCAGATCCAAATCCTCACTCGATGCAGACAACGTGACACACACACACACAACACACAACACACATAGCATTGTCACATAAGTGTGTAGTCGCTGCTTCCAGGTCAGACCGCACATGTCAAGATAACACACGATAAACAGGTTTGAATTTTCTCCCATGCTACTTCTGCCTGCACCGACACCTGCAGCACAAAAGCACTCTTTAACCGCCAGAGGGCAGCAGAGCACGGTAACTATAACACAGACTTGGTCCGCTGCACTCTTGGATGAAAGAAAATAAAACCTACAGAGAGAAAGAGAGAAAACTGAGCATGAGGAGTAGAGGTTTTTGTCTTTCTACCTCCTTCCTCCTTTATCTCTTTCTCCTCTACTCCTACTCTTCTGCTCCTTCTGTTAACCTTGACATCCCTGTGGAGAAACCCTGATAAACAGTCAGGAGGAGTTTCATACTGCAGCAGAAGAAACTTCACATTTCTGACCAGGGAACGTCATGCTGCTGACTCAGTGTTTTGATATGTTTTTTTTCAGACTTGTCCTTTATAAGCCAGAACGTTCTGAATGTCTGGTTTAAGTCATATCAAACACTTAACATCTTATTTTTAACCACTTATCAGCTACAGTTTTGACAAGTTTTCAAGGATTTAGAGGCAAATTTAGAACAGTATTCCATGGAGAAATTGGATTTTCTGCAGAGTCTTTTTGTGAAGTATATTCTCCCAGAGCAAACCATTTCTGTGTCATCTTTTATATTTAAATATTATACATGACTGATAGAAATCTGAAGGAAAATCTGGTTCCTCCAAAGATCTGGACCGTACACAACCATCAGGTCCTGGTCTTCAGATCCTCAGATAAGGAGAGGCCACAAGGACAAGAGGAGGAGGGGCTTATTTCAGCAGAGGGGTCTTTTTTACTCAGTATTAAAAACAGAGTGAAAACAAAATAAAAAACAGACCAAATGTTAATATCACAGTGCAAAAACAGTCAGTCACGCACACACAGAGACAGAGATAGAAACACACAGACAAATACACACCATCACTGACACACAGCTGTTTCTCGTCCCCTTCTCTCCTCCTCTTGTTGACGTCTCCTCCTCAAAGTGTTCTCCTCCCCTCCCACAGTTTAACCCTCCCTGATTCTCACTCTTTTCTAATGTCTGAAGTTGTTAAAAATATGTATCTATATTTACATATATGTCTATATATGTGTGTGTGTGTGTGTTACTAAAGGCAACTGTTTATCAGTCTAAAGATAGAGTATTCCAGAATGTCCTGTAACAAAATCAAAACCCTGAGAACCCTCAGTCCTATGGAATGTTTCACTAGGAGTGTATGGTGGTTTCCGTGTGGAAAGTTGACTGGTGGAAAAAGTAGTTTGTGTGTGTGTGTGTGTGTGTGTGTGTGTGTGTGACTATGGGTGGAGGGGTTGGTAGGAGAGGGATCGTTGGTGGTCTTTATTCTAATTCCAAGTAATATACACACACACACATATATATATATATATTTGTGTGTATTGAAAGTTAAAAGTTAAATTTTGATGCAGGATTGTTGAAGGTGTACAGCTGTGAACCACATGTTATACCAAATAAAGTAATATCAATAAGAGTTAGCATGCGTATAAAATAGACACACACACACACACACACACACACACACACACACACACACACACACACACACAGTGTGTTATGTGTTTATCAGGACATTTATCAAATACCCTCTGGGTTTTTTCTTTCCTCAACACAGATCATTTAAGTTTATCTTTGGTTTTCCAGACTGATGGAGCCAGGCCACTTTAGAGGTCAAAGGGCAACAGGTCATCAGGCCCTGATCAGGGGTCAGCAATGGGTGTATGTGTGTGTGTGTGCATGTGTGGTCATTAGGACTGTGAGTGCTCATTCAGGCACCATGAAAGAAATTCCAGATTCATAGGAATTTGCTGGGAATGCTGTCTGTGTGTGTGTGTGTGTGTGTGTGTGTGTTTGTGTGTTATAAAGAGAGGTCATGAGAACAGCAGAACACAAACAGATTTCCTGGTTGGACTTTTAAAACAAGTGAACTAAACCCCCCCCACAAACCCCCACACCCGGCCTGTAACCGTTTAACTAAAAGTCTAACTTTATCTTTATCTTTAACTTAAAGTAGAGCTGAACTAAATCTGAGCCTGACTCCTGACTATTTTAGGTCAGATGTGGTAGAGAATTTAACAATATAGAAGAAGAAGACAACAATTAGCTAACATTTTCCTTTTCCTTTTTCTACCTACTTTTAATCACTTCCTGTTTGGTTCAGACATCAACAACAGAAGAGACAAAAATTCAACACTGATTGTTTAAGAATAAAATCCTAAAAGAAATCAAAACAAAACCAAGACCAGACTTTGTCCGATGTGTTTCCTGTAAAATCTGATTCAACTCCTAATGTTTGTATTTATTACAAACGTCGTCCAGAAGATGTTGTTTACAGCCAGTGCTGAGGTTGTTCAGCACAACCCACAGTAAATACAAGCAAGTCTGGGACCAACTGACACTGCTGTAAGAACAGTACTCACAAACCAAAACCAGGTCCTGCTGATCTGTTTAGATCCTCGTCGCTCCATCTGGAGGTGAGGTTCTGTGTTTTTTCAGATGATGAATCAACAATCATGTGTCCACACACACTGTCTTCCATCATCAAAAGTCTTCTTCGGTGTGTGGAGTCCATGGTGGACAGTTTCTGGTACCACTCCCAAAGACCTCAGCTCTTTGGACTTGTTCCAGCTATCTAAATGGTACTACGCAAAGTTCCTGGGATCAAAACAAAGTTCCTGATACTGGCTTTATTTTTTTTATGCTTGACCTGGGATTATTTGAATCTTCTTCAGTTCCTGTGTTGGTCCTGGAATTGTCCTCCATTCCTGGGACTTAATCCTGAAGTTTAAACACATTAGGAAGGTTTTAGACCTGAGAGTGGGACAGTGGAGGGTTCAAGGTGCTTCTTGAGGAGAAGTAGTCATGGATTTTGCTGAATATCAGGAGATGATCACACTGACTTGATCAGAGAGTCCAGAGAGAGAGGACAGTCTGTTGGACAGTCCTTCTACTGCAGCATCTGTTGCAGGAGATATCCATCCATAAGCAGCAGTTATATTCCTGAAGAACGTGTTTGTTTAGAGCGCTGCTCCACCGTGATCTAAGCTGCGGTCCTGCCCTGGTGTCATGGTTCACATATTCATTGTGTGCTGGATCACAGCGTGGTGGCAGATTTCACCTTTGAGGACAGGACCTGTCTGAACCTCCTCTTCAGCTCCTGCATGTTTGGGGATTTAGGTCTGGCCAGGTGGAGGCCTCCTCTCCGTTTCTCCCCGTTAGCTCCTCCCAGAGCTCGATTAACCTGTAGAACCACAAACACACCATCACGTGGAGGCTGTAAAAGTAATAATTAAATGACAGGTCAGTTGTTTGGGGGGTGGTATCAAAAGCACAGGCTGAAGTTCTCACCTCCTGACACAGATGCAGAAAAGCAGCATGAACTCCTTCGTGGTTCTCTCTGGCCGAGGCCTCAAAGTACACGCCTCCTGTCAGCAAAGAAAAACAACATGGCTGCTGGTCACAGATCCAGACCCACATACAGTACACCTCACATGACATTTACAACCTGAGCATGAGAAAAGTAATCATCATCATCGTCATCGTCATCGTCATCGTCATC